AAGCTGTGAAAAGCTTGAAAATGAAAAACTGCTGGAATTGACGATATCCGCCCTGAGATGTTCAAGGCATTAGGAGAACAAGGCATGTGCTGGCTAACACGTGTCTGTAAAACTGCGATGACTGGGGGAAGACCAGCGGACTGGAGAACGGTAGTTATTGTGCCCGTATTCAAGAAGGCAGACCACAAGGAATGCTCCAGTTATAGGGTCATAACGTTGTTGGGCTTCCCAGGTAAAGTCTACGCAAATGTGTTAGAATGGAGGTGCCGTGAAATGGTTGAACTCAAGATCCAAGAAGAGCAGTGTGGCTTCTGGACTGGCCGAAGCACCTCTGACCGTATATTTGCCCTGCACCAGATTGTTGAGAAATCGTGGGAGTACGCCCAGCCGGTGTACGTGTGTTTTATGGACTTAGAGAAAGTGTATGACCTGACCCAACGCAACAGTCGGTGGTCACAGCCTTCGAGCGTACGGTATAGATGACCAGCTGCTAAAGGCCGTCCAATCACTGTATTCTGATAGCAGGTGCTGCGTCAGAGTTAATGGCGTTAAGTCGAAACCATTCAAGTTTCGCACTGGTGTCCGCTAAGGCTGCGTCCTGTCCCCTATCCTGTTTGTGTTGTACATGGATTGAATGGTCCGGAGCTGCGAAGACGATGAGTGTATCGGTGTTGCATATGTGAAGACGAGAAGATTGCTGTTTGCAGACGACCTTGTTTTATTGGCATCATCTGAATCTGATCCACAGTGCCCCTAGAAAGGTTCTTAACCGAGTTCGATATGGCCGACATGCGTGTGAACGCATCTAAAACGAAAAGCCTAGTGTTTTCTCGTTCTTCTGCTCGTTGCTCTTTTCAGATTAAGGTTGAGGCAGTGGAGCAGGTGGAGGAGTTCAGGTACTCCGGAATTGTATTTACTGGTGATTGCAAATTGGAGGAAGAGATCGACCGGCGAATTGTAGTAGACGTTGGCGTTCTGTGTAAACTAGCCCGACCTATTGTGACTAAAGCAGAGCTCACTCTGAAAACTAAGCTCTCAGTATTCAGGTCGATCTTGATCTCCATGCTTAGCTACGTTCATGAGTCATGGACAGTCACTGAAAAACTTCGAACCCGGGTAAAAGCTGCTGAAATGGGCTTTCTTAGACGAGTCGCTGGCCTTAC